TAAAACCCTAACCCAAACCCAAACCCTAACCCAAACCCAAACCCAAACCCTAACCCTAACCCAAACCCAAACCCAAACCCAAACCCAAACCCTAACCCTAACCCTAACCCTAACCCAAACCCAAACCCAAACCCTAACCCAAACCCAAACCCAAACTCAAACCCAAACCCTAACCCAAACCCAAACCCTAACCCTAACCCTAACCCTAACCCTCACCCTAACCTTAACCCTAACCCAAACCCTACTGGCTATGCTTCTTACAAGACAAATAAGTTTGTTCTTGGGCAATCTATTCAGAACATTCAATACTCTTTGAAAACACAACTCAAAGTCATAAATTCTTCTTTGATCTTCTTAGAACTAAGTACATGACAGTTGTTGTTGTTGTTGTTGTTAGGTGCTGTCAAGTTGACTATGACTCGTAGCTACCCTATGAATAAAAGATCTGAATCCTGTTCTATTCTGTGTCATCCTCACACTTCCTGACACTGAAGAGCCCATCGCAGCAGTCACCATGTCATCTCACCTGTCAATCCTTCTTCGCCAACCCTCAACCCTTCCAAGCATCGTGTCTATCTCCAAGGAATACCATCTTCTAGCAACATGTCCAAAGTATGCGAGGCAAAGCCTCAATAATTCTTGCCTCCAAAGAGCACTCCAGTTGTCCCCTCTCCAAGACATAGCTGTTTGTTTTCTTGGCCATTCATGGGATGTTTAGTGCTCTTCTCCAACACCACAGCTCAAAGGCCTCAATCTTTTTTCTGTCATCCTTATTCATTGTCCAGCTCTGGCATAACAAGTAATAGGAAAGACTATGGCCTGAATTAGATGCAACTTAGTCCTCAAACTGGCATCATTACTGCTCAATAATTTGGAGAGATCCCTAACTGCAGGTTTCCCCAGTGCAATGCATCTCCTTATTTCCTGACTGCTGGTAACAAGGGTGTTAATTATGGACCCAAGTAAGATGAAGCTGTTGATAGTTTCAATCTCCTCTGATCCAAGTAACATGAAGCTCTTGGTAGTTTCAGTCTCTTCTCCAACCATCATGACTCTACCCATCAGTACAATGGTAAGAATTTTTGTTTTCTTGACACTGAGATGCAATCCATACCAAAGAGTGAACTCCTCAATCTTCTACAGTTGGTGCTTCAAGTCCTCCTCACTTCCAACAAGCAAGGTTGTGTTATCTGCATATGCAAGTTATTAATGAGTCTCCCTTCAATCCTGATGCCACACTCCTCCTCATAAATTCCAGTTTCTGGGATAATGTGCTCAGCATACAAATGGAATACTCCAGTTTGGAGACTCATGTGAAAAACAGTTGGATTCAGGAGGGTAGGTCCTCTTGATTTAGTTGAAATCCAGGTGTAAATTGTTGGGTCATTTTTTTGTTTCATTAACAATCATGTGAAAGCTGATTGGTTGCCTGGATTTAGTCAACAACCAGATGTGGGCTGGCCGCCTCTTGTTGAAGTCAATCAGGGCCTGGTGGACGGACCTTGTATTTAACAGTCAGTTGGGGCCAGGGCCTGCTGTTAATTATGTTTGGGAAAAACATTGTTCTAAGTGGTATAGCATGTGTCTATCAGTTTGCTGTCCTAAGATAGCTTGGGGTTTTGTGATGCCGAAGGCTGTGCCACTCGTGTGTTAGGTACCATAATGGTTACCCATGGTGGGGCGGGTTTAGTAGAGCTCTCGGTTTGGGACAAGCTTGGAAACAGGATTGACATCCACCACTTAAACAGCAGGCTTTTAGAAACTCTATCAACATTAGAGAAATGACGATAGTTATAGAACAGGGTTCAGATCTTTTGTCCATATGTTCACTAAGAGTCATACTCAACTTATCAGCGCTTGCCAACAACAACAGATTGAATGTACACGACAGAAGTGAACAAAAACCAAAACTGTCATTGAGTTGATCTCACTCATAGAGACCCCGTAGAGCAAAGTATATCTGTCCCATAGCATTTCCAAGGCTATATATCTTTGCAGAAATAGATCGCATTCTTTTTCTCCCACAGAAGGGCTGGAGGTTTCAAACTACCAAACTTTTGTCTAGTAGTAGAGCATCTTAACCTCGGGCCACTATAGCTCCCTGATAGCAATGAATATTGGATATTGTAGATTACAGAGAACACGTAACTCTCCCTTCAGTCTATATTTGACTGATAGTATTAAAAGGGAAATTAGAGTTTTCCCAAAAGAAATATAAACTGTTGACTAAGTGCAGTAGTCTTGGAAAGGATGAAACCCAGCTGCTCCTTGGAGGCAAAGATTTTCAGATTCTGTCTGACAAACTTTGAGCCTGTAGCCAGGAGGGAGCTGTCTTCGGAGGAGAATAGCATACAAGGAAGGGTCCAGGGATAGCACCGAAAAGGAAGACCCCAGATGAGACTGATTGACGTAATAACTGAGATAGTAAGAGTAAGTGTGTCAGAGACAGTGAGATTGTCTCAAGGTTCAGAGCTACTGTGCATACGATCACCATGAATCCTAGTGGCACATGCCAACAACAGTCTTTTGAATAGAGTAGGGACTAGGTTGAAAACCTCCTGATACCCATCCAGAATCTTTGCAGTCAGGAAGTTTGCATTTAAAAAAGATGTGCAAACAACTTAAGAACTGCTGAAAGAGCAGGTTTATTTGCCTTTAAAGAAAGTACTACAAAGAGAAAAATATGACAGTTCTGCTTTTTAAAATTTTGAGCAATTGGCTTGAATTTGAATGCTTAGTAGACAGTCTGGTATGCGAACACGTGGTGCCAACTTGGATCTACTCCATGAGTGGAAATAGAAAAAGTGTAGCAATGAAAAAACAATGGAGTTTGAATGTTTTCCACCGGCACCTGCTGAACTCACCTGTCTGGGGTTAGGGATGAGAGAGAGAAGTTGTTGTCTGGTCTCAGGGACAGGGAGGTGTGTGGACTTCTCAGCCTACACCTGAGAACGCATTGACCTATTCCACAGAATGAAGACATGAGCTACTAGACCTGAACGAAGAAGATGATGTTTGACACTGTGAACTAGAGTTGATGGTTTGTTCCAGACTGGACTTTGTTTTTGGCTATTGGATACAGATGTTCAACATGCCAACAAGAACAAAAGATTCTTCACCTCAATGTGCATGCTTGTCTCTTTGGTACTGGTTTGATGTTGTTGTTGTTGTCAAGTGCTATCGACTCAAGTGTGATCCATAGTGACTATACACAATGGATATGAACCCTAGCCTACCTTGTGCCATCCTCACACATCCTGATGCTGTCCCACTAGAGCCCACTGCAGCAGTCACTGTGTCAATCCACCTGGTTAAGGGTATTCCTCTCTTTTGCGATCCCTCCACCTTTCCAAGCATGACATCCCTCTCTAAGAATAGCCTCTCCCAGCAACATGCCTGATGTATGTGAGACAGAGTTTTATCCTCTTTTATCTCCAAAGAGCACTCTGATTGCACGTTCTCCAGGGCATATCTATTTGTTCATGGGATCGTTCGTACACCACAGTTCAAAGGCATCCATTTTTTTTTCTGTCATCCTTGTTCATTGTCCAGCTCTCAGATGCGTAGCAAGTCATTAGAAAGATCATGGCCTGAATCAGATGCACCTTAGTCCTCAAACTGTCATCATTGCTCCTCAATAATTTCAATAGGTTCCTGACTGCAGACTTTCCTATTGAATATGTCTCCTGGTTTTCTCTCTTTTTTTTATTCTTGCTTGCTTTTAAATATTAATGTTATAGTGGGTTATACAAAGTTTGCACACATTGGTTTTTTTACACCAGATTTTCCCCATTTCCTTTATCTACCCATCATTCACCCTCCATCAAATTGTGATTAACACCTCCTCTCCCCTCTGGCTGTCCTCACTTCTCTCTTTCCACCTTCCCCTTTGGATCCTCATACACTTTCAGTAATAACGGTGTTAGATGATATTTGTCTTTATGGGACTGAGTTAGTTCACTTTGCATTATGCTCTCCAGTCCCTCCCAAGTTAGGTAGTAATTTATAAAATCATTGCTCCTTCATGCTACATAGTATTCTATCCTGTGAATGTACCATAATTTCTCACTCCATTCAATTGTGGTTGAATTTCTGGACTGTTTATCTGTTCTTGCAATGGTAAATAATGCTGCTATGAACACTGGTGTACTAGTCTCTGTTTTAGTTCTCATTCTCTAGGGGTATATTCCAAGCAGAAGAATAGCTGAGTCATATGGAATTTCTATGTCCAAATTTCCAAGGAATCACCAAACTGCCTTCCAGAGTGGTTATGCCATTTTCCAATCCCACTAACAATATATAAAAGTTCCTATCTCACCACATTCTCTCCAACATTTATTATTTGCTGACCTGTTAAATTTTGCCACTGCTACTGGGGTGAGATAGCATTTCATTATGGTTTTGATTTGCATCTCTCTTATGGCCAGTGATTCTGGGCATTTCTTCGTGTGTTTGTTGGCCATCTGAATATCTTCGGTGAAGATTGTTTCCATGTCTTTTTCCCATTTTGTAATTGTGTGGTCATTCTTTTTTCCTTGTGGAGGCCCTGTCAGATTCAGTTAACTTTTGATATGAGACCCTTGTCTCAAATGGTATTGCCAAATGGTCTGGGGGTTTTTTCCTAGTCAGCAGGTTTTCTTTTTATTCTATTGGAAAAAGTTTTTTCAGGAGCACAGGGATTTAATCTTTAGAATGTCTCATTCATCAATTTTATCCTCTACAGATTATACGTTTCTGGCTGTATTTGGCAATATCTTTATACTGTATATATG